GGGGGCAGGAAGAGGCGGTGGACACAGGAGAGCAGAGCTTCGGGAAGGCAGAGATGGTGGTCTTCTGTGCAGTTGCAGCTGACTTCATTTTCTACGCCTGGGGGTTCCATTTAGGCCACAAAATACTCAGTGTTTCCACAGAATTTTGTGTCATGTTTAAAATAACCTCACAAGTGTCTTTGTATCAAAACACAGAAAGCATTACCATTTTGTCTGAGGTCTCCTTGACATACGAAAGCACCACAAGCTGATCGCAGAGAGGCGCGAGCCCGCTGATGTAGAATTCCATGTCAAACTGAGACACTGAAAAGAAAGCGGAGAACACAAGTCAGTGGGAGGGGGGCGAGGAGGGGCAAGGTGTGGTGTCCACACAACACTAGATGGATCCATCCCTTCCCAAGCCACAGACCAGTGACTGACAAACCACTAGGCCTTTCCCCCAGAAACCTGACAGAGAAGTGGAGAGACGAAGACACCAACAAGTATTAGGGAAAAAAAGGCTTTTTACAAATGTGTCCAAGAAGGCTGGAGAAGTGACCATTTAAAAATGAATCTGTCAGTTTAAAAAAAATATAAAACACCTCTCGAAACAGTCAATGAGAAAAGGCCAAGAGGATGATCTTAAAGCCAGTTAGGAGAGAAAAAACATCTAGAACCATTCAAAAAATCAGTAAAAAGTCGCTCAGATTATCACCAAATGGTGATAGGCTAGAACAGGGGTAGGGAACCATGTATGGCATCCTAGGTCCTCAAGTGTGGCCCTCTGACTGAATCTAAACTTCACAGAACAAATCCCAAGGGCTGCATGGGAGGACCTAGAGGGCCACACGTGGCTCCCCACCCCTGGGCTAGACGTCGCTCCCCATTGGGTCATACTGAAACCAGCAGAATTCCCAAAAATGCTGTTTTCGTAAGCAGAGTATCAGTGTGATTGTGAAGTGAGGTTTGCAACACTCACCCTCATGTGATCTACGGTTGTTTTTTAATTTATGAGATTGGAACCATCGTGTATACTGTTTCCTTGGCTCAGCTGACTTCACTCTGCATCAGTTCGTGTAGCTCTTCCTAGGCTTCTCCGTACTCATCACACTCATCCTTTCTCACAGCACGGTAGCATTCCATTCCATCCACAGACCACCATTTGTGCAGCCTCTCCCACGGCTTCTACCGCGTCTATCACAAAAAGTGCTGCTATCTATATTTTGGTGTATGGGGGGACTTTCTTCTTACCCACAGCCTCCCCGGGGTATTTCTGGGTCAAAAGGTGTGGACAGTTTAGTCACTTTATTTGCTTAATTCCAATTACTTTCCAAAATGGTTGTAAGGATTCACAGATCCACCAACAATGCATTAATGTGGCTCACATCCCACAATTTCTCCAACAGTGACTACAGTTATTCCTTCCATATCGTTGGGGTAAGGGATGCAGCACCCTAACAATCTGGAAAATCCATGTAAAATTTTTTGGCCCTCCCTCTGTACCAGAGAAGTCTGAATTATCATGGTTTTAAAAGATAGGATACGTTGATATTATACAATACAATGCATATATTTCATGCGTGTCTGAGTTTCTAACCCTTTTCTGCGCCATCTGCTGGCCTTTGCGTGTCATCTGAGGCTTCCCCAAACTTCTCCAAAAATTCCCATTTAATTTCTTATGCCAACTGTGATATATCGAAACTGCAACAGGGAAAGTCATGATGTGGAAGGGATGATGTATTCCCACTCTTTGCTATCTCTGCCTATTTGTGGTATAAAATGAAAGCTCAGGGTTGTTTTGATTTGCATTTCTCTTAGCAGTAATGATTTGGAGCACTCTTTCAGGTGGCTGTTAATAGTCCATGATTCTTCTTGGAGAAATGTTTGTTCATATCTTTGGATCCTCTCAGACTTTTCAAGCCATTCACAACCTGGCACCTGCCTGTTTCCAGCCTCACAGAACATCATTCCCTTTCTCACACCACAGAGTCTGACCCAACCAGTCTTCTCTCTGTTCCCCAGATGGAGTTCTCCATTTCCCACCTCCTTACCTTTGTACAAGTGGCCCTCCCTGTTTGAAATGTCTGTCCTGCTCATCTCCACCTCAGAGGATCCCTCCCTTTCTCCAAGTCTTGGCTCTACCGCTATCCTGACACGACACCTTTCCTGATGCCCCTCGCACCTCCAGCTGTCCATGCTCTCCTTCCCCAACCACGTACCTGGTATTTACCCTACATGCTTCTATATCTATGTATATGCACAGGTATAACATATATGCTCCATATGTCATATAGTGAAGACATACGCTAAATATTGCTGAGATACAGTGTGACAGAGTGGATCAAGAACTGATCGTGGAGCCAGGAAGACCTAAGTTCAAGGCCTGGCTGTGTGACAGTCAACAAGCATTTCTTAAACACCTACTGTGTGCCAAACACTGTGCTAAGCCCTGGGGGTACAGAGAAAGGTAAATGCAAATGAAAGCCCCTGCTCTGAAGGTGCTCACAAAGTAATGGGGGGGAGACAAGACGCAAATGATGCCGTACAAACCAGTTACAGACAGATAAACCGGTGATCAGCCCCAGGGAAGGCACGAGCATCAAAGGGCATCAGAAAAGGCTTCTTACCGAAGGGGAGGCTTTAGCTGCGACTTGAAGCCACGAGGCAAAGACAAGGAGAGAATTCCAAGAATGGGGGATGGCCAGGAAGATGCCCAGAATCAGGAGAGGGAGAATCTAGGTCAGAGGTTAGTTAGTGCTTAGCTCAAGGAGGCCAGTGTCACTGGATCACTGAGCATGTGGGCGTGGGAGGAGAAAGGGGGCATAGAGAGGAACAAGAATGGGGAAGGCACAAAAGGGCTTTAAAAGTCAAACACTGGATCCTGGACGCAAAGGGAGCCAATGGAGTTGACTGAGAGTAGGTGGGGGTGCGTCTCAAACCTGTACAGCCAGGCCTGAGCTTCAGGAAGGTTAGTCTGAGCTCACCGAACTGTTCGAGGGACCGGTTATGGGCTGGGGAGGGATGGCCCCTGCACTGTGAGCCAGGTGACGGGAGGATGGGGGTGCCCTCAACAATAACAGAAAAGTTAGCAAGGCTGGAGGGTTTTAGGGGAAAACAACTATGAATAATGACAAAAGACTACCACGAGAAGAGCAAGCAGAGGGACCTAAGCTGTGGTCTGAGAGGTTTGAGAAGTGAGCTTCTAGAGAAGGAGGTACAGACAACAGGGATGATGGGGAGAGGCTGCTTGAAAATCGAGAGAAGAGTAGGAAGAAGCGGGAAATGAATGAATGGCCCCTGCGTTCAGTCAATCCACCTCCAATGGGCTCTGAGAGTGTTAACTGTCAACTAAAGGCAGGTGAGCATGCTGGCTGCTCCTCCTAAGCAAAGGCAGCAAGACCAGTAAATCACGAGGCCTCACCTGGTAGTGGAGCAGCCACGAGCACCACACGGACGCCACGAGAGCCAGCCTCCAATGTTACTGGCAAAAGTGGCAGGAGACCAGGCTCGTGCTTGCAGCCAGCGGAACCTTTAAGTGGTCCACAAAGAGTGGGGAGCACTTGTCTTTCTGCAGTGGCTGAATACTATGTCTACACAAAAGGCAGGGTGCAGGGTGTTAGGCCGGGAAGAAAAGGCAGGAAAAGCTCTTGAACTTAACTGCAAGAATGAAGTGTTTCTTGAAGACACCGAGGGAGGATTTCAAGATAAAAACAAAGAGGACAACAGATAGAGCTCTTTGGTGACCGAGGACAATCAGGGCACACGTCAGAGGGGTGGAGGGGATGAGACTGGGATGTGGGCTGAGGGGGATGCCGGTGGGAGAGGAGAAGGAGGGCCTGGGGATCAGCACGGTCATTTTGTAAAGTAATTGGGAATTAAGCCAATCAAATCACTAAAACAGCCATGCCCTTTGACCCAGAAATTCCACTACCAGTCACATGCTCCAAGGAAGCCATTGATATGAACGTGACGAATAGAGAAGATCTACACGAAAGAGCTACATGAACTGATGCAGAGTGAAATCAGCAGAACCACGGAAACAACAGACACGAGATTACAGCCACATCAATGGAAAGAGCAGCCACGGATCAAACCAGGCGTGAACGCTGCAGAATGACGATGACCCCGCCTGGCTTTGCAGAGGGGGCAGGGAGGTCCCAGCTGAATGTGGGACCCTGCACATATCTTCGGACTGTCTCTGGGTGCACTGATCAGTTTTTTTCTTTTAATCTTTTTTGTCTTTAAACGTGTAACTTGTTATATGGAACGACTCTCTGGGAGGTAGAGGGTCAATGGGAGGAAAATTAGATGATGTAACAATACAAATGATATCAACACAAATTTATTTTAAGAAAGAACACATGGCACTTCTGAAACATATGAATGCCTTTGAAAGAACTGGAAAAATCCTCATTCAGGCCTCCCTTCATTACTAGTTCATGAAACAACATTTGTGTAACATAGCAATGCATCATCTTCTAACTCCTGAAGCTCTTCACAATCATATGGCAACTACAACAAATGTGGTACAAAGAAATATTTCTCTGTGGGGTCAGCCTGAGATCTCACGGCTCCCTCTTCACTCTTTCAGGGCCTCCTACGAGCCAGGCACTGTACATCGTGGCTCTTTGGTGCGTAAGTGGATGTGATGATCCAACAGGGTGGCTTACGTCTGGGACACAATGAATGCACACATAAATAAGAATTTAACATATTAAGAGCGGGCCACGCTTCCTCTCAGAGCCCGGCCTAATTGTTCCCCAGTAATTGCTTTGCATTCACCTAAAGTTCCCCATCCCTCACCTCAGTTTTGCTAAGAAGCTGAGAAGTCACATTTACAAGAGTGTTTGCAATTGATAAATCATTCCATCTATACTACAGAGCTACAGAACGCCTTATTTGTGGCCTGATCCCACTGTGCCCCTGTTATCGTGCTTCCCCGGATCCCAGCCTCCCTCTGCCCAATGTCAGGGGGTGACGGACAGAGTTCTCCCCAAAAAGGGCCGTGGGATTTATGTGGAGGGCTGGCCTGCCATGGCGATGAGGCATTCTTGTACCGTTACAGTGGCTTTAGTTTCATAAACGTCACACTTGGTAACAATGACAAAGGACAGATGACCATGCTCCCTTAATTGTCATCCTTGGGAAGACACAGGGTTAACCCTCGAGAACTCACCGTGTGTGTGTGTGTGTGTGTGTGTGTGTGTGTATGTGTGTGTTGGGGGGGAGGGTCCTACTTTTAAAAAAATCCATATACTTCAGCTTCACTAATTCCTTGCAGGTCACAGTCAATTAAATATAATTTCAAAGACTTTTAAATAAAC